TGCCCATAACACTTCCAGATCGGCACCATGGGCGGCGGCCATATCCCTTTCGTCTCGAGCTCCCATAAGGGGCGTCGAATGACAGCTATCATAACGCATCGAACGTTTGCGGATGATGTCGGCGCGTCTTTCAGACAGAGCGGAGAAGCCATAACCGTGGGGCTCAATTGGGCTCAGAGAGTTTTCTCCTCGTCTGTGCGCACCTCCTGCCTACTGCAGCATAGCTGATTCCACTTCGAATACTGATGGCACGCACGCACGAATCGATGAAAGCAAGTGTGACAATTCAGTCAGTGGGGTGGGTGCCCAAGCCGCGGTCGGAAACAGGCAATCACCACCCTGGGTTGGCCGTCAACTACCTCCCGTCGTGACCTCGTCGCCCCGCGCTTCCTGGACTTCGTTGAGACCAACGACCCCTCCCTCCTCAACGCTACGGACCCTTTCCCCTCCGACTGTTGGAGGTGCCATCATGATTACGTAGCACCCGGCAAATGCGGATAAGAGTGAGGGGGGGGGTGGGGGCGTCGGCAGTCTGCGAGACTCTGGAGAAGCCCGCCGCAGCCTCCAAAGTTTCACAAATTGTACAACGAGCCCGCCGCAGGCGCCGATTTTTTCGTTAAAATAGTGAGGGTAGGTCGCGAGTGGGTCGCAGATTGGTCGCGGGTGGTTCGCTATTGGGTCGCGGGTGTAGAGGGCAGAATAGCCGCTCCATAATAATCGCCCCGACAAGCGAAGCCGTTTAGTAAACGCACACAAGGAATGAATCGAAAAGGGCAGTGCTGTGGGTCGCGGGTGGGTCGCGGGGTTGGGTCGCGGGTTGGGTCGCGGATGGGTCGCGGGTGGGTCGCGGGGCGGGTCGCGGGTGGGTCGCGGGTGGGTCGCAGGTGGGTCGCGGGGTGGGTCGCGGGTGGGTCGCGGGTAGGGTCGCGGGTGGGTCGCGGGGTGGGTCGCGGGGTGGGTCCGGGGTGGGTCGCGGGGTGGGTCGCGGGGCGGGTCGCGGGCGAGTCGCGGGTGGAACGACGACAACAAACAAGGACAACAACAGCGGCGACAACAACGCAACAATCAGAATTCCCGCCACGCTTTCAGGGACAATGCATGACCGTTCGGCCCCCCGCGCACTGATAAAGTGGGTTCTACACCTGAGCAGATCGATTGCGCGGGGGTTCCAGGGCTAGATCGTCGGACTGACTGCGAAGCATCGCCGCCAGCTCTGATCGCAGGCCCAGCTGCGACGCGCTGCAGAATTTCAAGACGAGCCCGCCGCCTCGGTCGATTCGCGCTGCGCGCTCTTCAATAGGCGGGAGAAGCGATCAACTGGAGGTCCCACTTTTTACAAGACAAGTGGCAAGAATTCGAGCCTGCTCCGGACCCATGGGCCCGGCGCATCTGGCCAGGCGGAAGTTTTGCCGAGGGGCGACCTTGCCAGCGCGATTTGAATCGAAAGTTGGTCGGGATTGTGCCGTCCTCCCTCAGGCATGCGATGTTCCAGCTGCCAGGTCTCAGGCATTGCCCTTCGCTTGCGGGCGCGTCGCGGACGACCCGCGGCGCGCGGAGTCCTCGGATCGGCGCGTCGGACTCGCGGCGCGGCCGAGATCGCGGCGCTGATTGAATTTAGTTTCTGGCTCTTGCAGCAGGGCCAACGCCAGCTAGCTCTCTCGGCGCCTCCAGGCGTCGAAAACGTTGGAGGTCTCCCCGGCCCCGCTCGGAAACACTTTCACGATCCACGCCGATGCGAAGTGCGCGGTCGTAGCAGCTGAAGCTGAAAGCGCGATGCGACCGAAGAGGGACGTCCCGCTGGCTTGTCTAAATTTGCTTCAACGAGCTCGTAAATGCAACCGGGTAAACCTCGTCTGGAATCGATCGCACCAGGCCGAAAACGTCGGGCGCACTTTTTGCCGATTATCTCGCCTAACAGGGAGCCCGCATAGCACCGGAAGTGCCCGAGTGGGCACGACCTACGCAGGTCGACTGGCATCCAGAGGATGATTTTCGATTGCCGGGAGGAGCTCAGCAGTTCAGCTTGCCGACCCGCGAGCAGATGCAACGCCGGCAGAAGAGATTGGACACCCGCTGTCCGCAGTTCCTCATCGGGGGCCTCGCGGAGACGACCACTCCCTCGCCACTGCCATGCGCGGGCGCAGGCGGAAAGACTTCGCCTTCCTTGGGGCCGTTCGCGAATGCGGTCGCCAGCGTTGCTTTTTGGCGCGGGCGAGGCTGTCCAATGCGCTCTTCGGGGGCAGCTCAGCCGAACGGCCCGCCCATGGCTCGCGCCCGCGGTTCGCAGCGGCCGTTGCGCATGGAGGCGGGAGGCCGCCTGCGCAGTCACCTAGCAAGAGGATATTCTCGCACCAGAAATCAGATCTCCAGGATTCGGCCCACGGCGAAGCGAAACGAGGCCCTCAAGACGACGCGATTAACGGGGCGCCCCAGAGCCCGACCCCGCGGCTCCAAGGCGACGATATCCTCATGGCGGCGGCGATTCGACGAACATCTAAGAAATTAGCGGATTTCAGCTCGGAGCTTTTCGGCAACCCTACCCCCTCAGCCCCCTCATCAGCTGAACCCTCGCAATCCCGATCGACGAGGACGGGCCCGCCGCGGCTGCATCGCCACTGGGGCCCAGCTGCTTTGGAAGCCTTGAGAACGCCAGATCGCACGCGGGCGCAGGGCGCGTTATTCACAATGAGCATGGGTGAGCAAGGTGCTAGACAAGGTGGGGTGGCGGTGGAGATGATTGCGCAGTTGTCCGAGGAGGCGAACGCGCGTGTAGCTGATCTTTTTAAGCACCGCCCGCTGAACCCCCACGGGGAGAAGGATGGCGATGTCTGGGGGGCCCGCGTGATCAACTTGCTCGCGAAGGCCAGCGTTGCCAAGTCGGGGGGTGGTGGGCATCGCGGACTTCCGCCCCGTCGCGCTGCTGGCGGTGCCTTACACATTGCACAGTCACGCCCTCCTCCTTCTAATTAGCCCCGAACAGCGTCAACACCCCGAAAACCAGTTTGCGTTTCGCACGGGTTTCCAGGCGGAAGACGTAATCTTCATCTTCAAACCGCTGTTCAAAACATGCAACGAGTGGGGCCCTGAGAAAACTCTCTTCACCTTCGCTGGGGATGCACTTCAGGCCTGCGGTTATGCGGATCGGGGAGGAGTGGCGCAGGCAGGTCTTAAGCGCGGGATGCCTCAAATACCGTTGGCGGGCTGGCTTAGAGAGATCAGCAAGATAACGGCGACCGTCTCTCTGAACGACCTGACGAGCTCAACGCCCGCGGGCAGGGCCCGCTCGCCGGCGCAGGGGGGCCCTGCGGCGCCGTGCATGTTCAGCCCTGGGCTCGACGTCCTGATTGACCAGTTCACGGGGAGATGCGAGAAGTACTGTTGGGGATTCTGCTGCCAAGTATCCACGGATCGTAGCGAGGACTTGTTTATCCCTATGCTGTGTTTTGCGGGCATCTTCTGGATCCTGGGCCTAACATGTCGGGTTACGAAACTCATTATTGAAAACAGGATGGAGATCCTGCGCGAAGGTAGATGCGAGGTGGACCTTAGCGAGCGCCCGTGGTCTAGTGAAGACTGTCCCGAAGCGGCGCGTTGGAAAGAGACGCTTAGAATCCAGTGCCAGGACATCACGAGGATTCCGAGGAACGAGGGGATTATGGTGTTAGCAGCGAGTGTGTGTATACATATATATGTATACACATCATGACGGACGTGATGCAACGGCGATGGGCTATAGGATCTCTCAGGCGTGGAACACATGGTTCCAATGGCGCTCCGTGTTCTGCCAGCACCACGCGCCGCTCGAGAAGCGGCCCCTTTTGTGCGACAGCGTAGTTCGAAGTAGCATTTGTTGGGGGGCGCCAAAGAGTTCAACCTGAGAGAATGACCAGTTCGCTAGCCTCCAGGACACGAGGCGCAGAAGAGTCTTCGGTTTCCTTAACAAGCAGTCGCGAGCCCTGGGATAAGGATCGCGGTCCGTACATACGGGAAGATAAGCGCCACCAGAAAAAGGCAGGGGGTTCTCGATTGGGACAAACACCTGGTCCAGATGCAGTACCGTTGGGCTGGCCATATCGAACTTCTGCGTGTGAGAGACCCCGCCCGCGTTGCCCCTCCCCCCTCCTCCATTTTCGGGGCGCCAGGTTCCTGCGGCGTCAAAAGCAAGCTCTCGGCCGTGGACGGCAAGGCCGCGCGAGAAAGTTGCGCCCGTGGAGGTGGGATTGTTTCTTCTCTCGTTGTTCTCACCTCCACCAACCCTGGAATTTGATCGGCCAGACTCCCGAGCTTTAGCTACACCGCATGAGTATAATTGTAGCATGGCGTTCATGTACACACCTTTCAGTTTGTGAGTTTCCCCAGTCGTTCTTATCTCCCTAGTTGTGGTCAGGGCCAAGACTTCCCGAGGAGCGTCTTTAATGTATATATATATATATATACATACACGCACGTACATACATACATAGCATCGTCATCACCAGCATCGTCATCAGCACCATATGCATCACCATCTTCATCTCCAGCTCCATCATCACCAGCACTTCCTCCACCATCATCATCATGATCGGCATCATCATTATCACCATCATCATCAGCATCATCAGCATCATTCACATGTTCATCATCATCCGTCCCATTTTTGGCTCAGTTCCTTTGGGTTCACGATGGCACGATGAGGGCAGGCATCTGCCCCACAGCGGCGGGTTGCGAGGGCTGCACGCCCTCCGCCCAGCAGCCAGGCCTCCCTGGCGCGACGTCGCGCGGCCCACAATTGCTTGCTCGAGCGTCCGGAATATTGTGGGTTTCCGGGGTGGGCTTCGAAAGTGCCCAGCTTCGGGCCAACGACGTAAAGGCCTGAACCCCCATCGAGTTATCGGGAGGTAGACAGAGAGAAAGATATACAAAGGCAACAGGCAGGAACGACAGAGAAGGGAACCGCACATGCCTGGGGGTTGAACGACGTTCACATCAATCAAATAAATAACGGGAACCGTCGCCCGCAGGACACCGACATCGTGGTGTGGGACATTGTGGCGGAGAGCGGCCTCGCGCGGCTAAGGGGCCACGTCGACCAGGTCTGCGCTCCAACGCTGCAACCGCCGTCGTCGTCGTCGCTGCTGCCGCCACCGCCGCCGCCGTCGTCGTCGTCGTCGTCGTCGTCGTCGTTCTCGTCGTCGTCGGCGTCGTCTTCGTCGTCGTCCTCGCCGTCGCCGTCGCCGTCGCTGTTGTCATCGCCGTCGTCGCCGCCGTTGTCGCTACCATCGTCTTCGTCCTCACCCTGAGGGCGGGGGGGGGGCACGGGCCCCTTGCGACAAGGATGCTGAGCCCGGCTCCGCCAAGTCGCCAAACACGCCGAGCGAAGCCAGGTCCGCGATGCCGTCGAAACCCGAGTATACAGTCGAGGCGCTGAAAGAAGGACCGTGTTGGGCTCGGGAGGGGCTCTGTTTGTCGGGCCGTTCTTGGGATGTCGGTCGGGGGGCCCATGTGCAGCCGAGGCGCGCCCTGGCCAGAAGAGCCCGTTCGTCCTTGATTGTGCGCCACTCCTGGTGGCACGATGGCTGCAGGATGATGGCGCGGTAAGCCAGCACAGCACACACATTCAGGAGGTCGGCGCCGACGGTCGGCGCTCCATCCGCGAGCTTCTGCTTCAGGTCCTCGTTCACCTACCCGAAATCAGCCGCGCTGTAGCTCGGGAGCTCCGCGGCGCTACCAGCAGCAACAACAGCTCCAGCGCTCGGGCCTCCCTTCCGACGACGCTTACCTCGACCTCCGCCTCCTCGGCCAAAAGGCAAGCCGCAGGCCAGGAGAGCCGACCCACCCCATCCTCCGTATTCACACTGGCAGTTGTATCCGACTCAGGCCCACAAGGAGCCCGTTCCTTCTCCTTGCTGTTGGCCTTCTTCTTGGTCTCGATCTTCTCGCGCTGCGTCTTCAGCGGTGTGCCAGCGCTCTCGGAGGGAGGAGGAATCCCCGATGAGGTACTCCTCCGCGGGCTGCTTAGCGCAGTGCTCGGCGCTCGCACCTCCGCTTGGCGGCGGCGGCGGCGGAGGCGGGGGGGGAGTCCCAGATCCCTGGCAGAGGCGGCTGGGGTGGTACTTCCATCCTCATCACCGTCGGTTCCATGGACTCCTTCTCCTACTCCTTACTGGGCTTGTACTGCTTGTGCTGCTGCTTGTGTTTCTTTCTGTTCGACTTGACCGGACCCATACGTCCAGTTTCTTCACCTGCTCGTGGTACTGCTTTTTTCTCGGGCTGGCTGTGGATCTCGTACTCGTCCTTCACGGGAGCCTGACTGGCAGCCAGGCAAACGACGGCGGCGGCTGGTGCAGACGTTCTGCCTTCTTGCCAGGCCCAGTTGCCTGGGGCGTAGCTTGCAAAGCCGTCGGCGGACAAGGGATACGGCGAACCCCCCTGTCCACCTCGAGCAGAACCGAATCCGCTCCCACCAAGGATGGCGGCGGCAGTAGAACCGCCAACACAGATGACGTCGGCATCGTGGCGGTCGAGGTCCGAGATCCAATCAAGCAGCTCCTTCAGTCCAGCACAGGCCGCTTTGAACCGAGCTCTGCACGTCGTCGATATGGCGGCGCGCTCAGGCCGCACATGTGGTGGTACAGCGGCTGAGCCTCGAGACGAGCGGCCGCTGAAAAGGCACGGGGGCCTGGGCTCGAGCCGAGGAGGCTCGGGAGGAGGAGGAGGTCCAGTTGAAAGCCAAGACTCATCAACGATGGTGCCATAACCCCTCCCTCCAAGCGCCCTCTTCATGAGGGAACTGCCTCGTTGGGACACAACCAGTTGAAGACCCTGAAGCGTGCCAAAACACCATTCTTGGGACTCCAACGCCACGGATCAACTTGACTGTTGCGTCTTCACGATCCTGCATCGTGCCAGAACGCCGTTCCTGGGACTTCAACACCGCGAATCGACGTACCTGTGCGCCTTCGCACTCCTGAATCATTCCAGAACGCAATTACTTGTGCGTTGACCATGGGAATCCGTGAAACCCTTGCCAGTGTTTCAAGCGAATGTGCGCGGTGCTAGGGCGAAAGCCACATTTTGAACATCAACCGCCCTCAATCCGTGAAGCTCTTGGAAATGTTGAGAACGAATGTGCGCGGCGCCAATGCGAGAGCCACATTTTGGAAGCGACCCGCCCTCCATCTGCGAAACTGTTGCCAATGTTCAAGCGTCAGGGTCATAAATGATGAGGAAGTCTCAGGCGAAACGCCCGGCCCGCCCTTTCGCGACCGATTTCGGGGTGCGACAGGGAGGAGTTACTTCTGAGGAAAATTGCTGGCAAGTTAATGCGCGCGTGCACCAAACACACGTCCAGCAGCTGGATCTGAAATTTCATATGATCCAGAATTCGCATGGTTGGCAGGTGAACCCGTACTCTGGTGTCAGTCCTGCTAGTGATGCAGACGCAGATAGTTTTCAATTTGTTTCTGGTGTGTAGGAGCCGATTCCTGAACAGGTGTTGGAGGCCACAAGCTTCGGTAAAGATTATGTGGACGTGGCGGCTGCGCAAATTATGCAGGAAACGCAGGTGTCCGCGGCTACACACTTCCAGCAACATGTTTGAGGATACATGGCACGACGAGCAACTTACGAGTACGAGTCGATGGAAAGGGAAGGTCACGAGAGCATGCGAAGGAGCAGAACCTATAATCTGTCCAGCATATCTCCGCGAGGTTACCACAGGATGTATACATTGAACCAGTGCTGGAGAATCCAATCTGGGAAAGAGGGTTCTTGTGATATGTGCGGTAAGTGCGTGGCAAACGCAGGAGCGTTGTCAAGGATTATTAAAACGCTTCGCTCATTGGGGTCCTCGTTGGGGGTTTCTTGGGGGACTCTTGGGTTTCTTTTGGAGCCTCTTTGGGGGTTCTTGGAGTTCCTTTAGGAGCATTTGGGAGCATCCTGGGGCTTCTGGGCGCCGCTTGGGGCCGAGGGCTCGGTATGTCCGTTCCGGTTCCCACTTTGGGCCTCTTCTTTGGGCTGTCCTGGTGCCATCTTGGGCCGTGTCGGAGGCCTCTTGGGCCGTCTTGGAGGTCTCTTGGGCTTCCTGGGGGCGATATTGGAGGCTTCTTGGGCCGTCGTGGAGCGTCGGGGAGCTGAACAGGTGGGAACGCTCAAATCTTCCAAAAAAACAAAAATAACTCGACCATTTTTGCTTCCTGGGGCTCTCTTGAGACGCTTCTTGGAGGCATCTTCGGGCGTCTTGCAGGCGTCTGCGGGCGTCTGGAGGCCATTTTGAGCGGTTTGGTCCGATCGGTCGGCGACTCGGGGCTTTCTTGGACCATCTTGGGGTCAGTTACCGGAGATCTTCGCACGCCTCTGGCCCGTTGGGCCGCCGAATTTGGCCTCTCACCGAATCGGGTGTCGCGTTTGGCCTTCATGTCTCGGAGGGGAAATGAGGAGGAGGTGGAGGAGGAGGAGGAGGATGAGGAGGAGGACTCAACTCCTTCCTGCTGCTCTCTCCTCCTCCTCGTGCTCCCTCCTCCCTCCTCATCCCCCTTCTCCCTCGTTTTGCGTCGACGTCGACGACGACGACGAGGACGACGACGACGCCGACGACGACGACGACGACGACGAGGACGACGACGACGACGACGACGACGTCGACGACGACGACGACTACGACTACGACGACTACGACGACGACGACGACGACGACGACGACGACGACGACGACGACGACGACGACGACGGCCGGGCTTCTCTCGGAGTTGTCGCGGCCCGCCGCGACCTCCGCCGCGCAGCCTCCGGCCCGAGTCTCCGGCACCCTGCGTCGTCTCGTGTGGCGTCTGGGGGCTACCTCGAGGGCCTTTTGGGGGCTTCCTGGGGCTTCAAAGGGGCCTCTGTGGCAAACGCGGGAGCGTTTTCAGGGATTATTTGCAGCGTCGGCAACACAATCTGCAATGATTATCATGCTTGTCTGCAGTGTGTCGGGCTGATGGCCAGACGCCCGTATGACAAGAAGAACGGGTTTCTGGAAGACGATGTGTGGGAGTTCATGCAAAAGTGGTCCCTGTCCTGAGTGGCCATTGACTTGCGTCTCGTGTCTCGTGTCTGCTCTCCACATGCTGCCCACTGTGGTGCTTCTCCCCCGCCCTTCTTGCACTACGCTCGCGCAGCACTGCTAGCAATTCTCCAAGTTAAATGCTCGGTGCCACGGCGGCACCGTTCCGTTCCTAGAGGGACTGCGCTCCGGCGCATATGTAAGCGTCCGTCCGTCCGTCAGTCCGCCCCATCAACAGCACACTACACAGGCAACGCTGTTCTACTCAGTTTGGACATATTGCCGTCTCCACCCACACTTGGATAATGCAGCTCTGGTTGGGCTCTCTCTCTCTCTCTCTCTTGGGGGTTTGTCTGATTTCTCCGATCATGGAGCGCAGTATCTGCGAGGGGTGGCCCAACTCCGCCAGCCTGACTGAGTCTGGGCACCGCCCGGGGCCTCGATGAGGCCGATTGTGGAGAGCGGCATGCGTGAGGGCGTCAGTGAGGGGTGGCCCGCTCGTAGCCTGAGCTTTGGGGGCCCCGTCGGGGAACCACTTCTTCGAGGCACCCGGACTGGAGCAGGAGCAGGAGCAGGAGCAGGAGGAGGAGGAGGAGGAGGAGGAGGAGGAGGAGGAGGAGGGGGAGGGGAAGGGGGAGTGGGAGAAGGAGGGGGGGGGAAGAGGAGGAGGGGGGTGGAGGAGGAGGAGGAGGAGGCGGAGGAGGAGGAGGAGGAGGGCGACCCAGAATACCAAGAAGGGTGCGGCGGCCAGTCTTGTCCGCGCTGCCAGCCTCCAGCGGGCCGCTTCGCGGCCCCCGTGCGGGCGTGGAGCAGCGGCCCGGGCCGCGGTGGAAAAAGACATCGACGGTGCCTCGGGAAGGGATCTCGCTGCCCACCGGCCACCCCAACCCAGGCCAAAGGCCCTAAGCTGCCTTCCGCCCGGAACACTGACGAAAACACAGATGGAACCTCCACGCCCCCCGACCCGACGGTTGGGATTTCGGCTTGGTTCGGAGTGGTCCGGCTGGGGGAGGGAGGAGCGACCCCTACACCATCAGGGGGCCACCTCTAGCGAAGAGGTCCACGATGCATCCCCGAGCTGGGGATGGGGGATGCCTCGAGCGAGAGGGGGGACTGCGCCACCAGGGGGACCCCTCCCTGGCTCCTCCCGCTGGTGCTCCCTGGCGGTGTTGGTGTCGGCTTTCCATGTCCCCAATGGAGGATGACGATTAATAAATGACCGGGGGTCGTGTTCACGCGGCGGCGCCCGGGATGACGACTAGAAAAACCCAGCCGCGGGCTGGAAAACTATGTTTTAAACCGTTCTCCTCCAGTCAGAGAGTTGTGCAGAAATAGCAGAACACCATGTTTTTTTAATCGTTCTCTCCCATTTTAAAATAATCGTCATCCCGCATTAGGCCTGGTAGGCGGTCAGGACCGGAATCTCCTCGGGCCGCGCACCGCAGCACGCTCACGGCACGTCGGAGGCCCGCGGCCCCGCAGGCCCCCCCCCCTGACCTTCCAGGAGGGCTAAAAAAAATAACACCCAACTGAAAAACCAATCCCAGAGCTATTCTACGTCTTGGTTTTAGGCTGTTTCTCTCAGCTGTTCAGGCTTTTAGGCCTCCGGTGCTAAAAAATAGCTCTCTGGAAGGTCAGGGCACCGGCCCCCCCCCCGGGGGGGCCGCGGCGAGGGCCAGCGGGGGCCCCGGGGAGGAGGCGAGTGCCCGGCCATAGGGCCGGCGGCGCGGCCTCTCCCGTGGGGTGCCCGCGGGGCGGCCCTGCGGCGCCGCCTCGCCGAGGAGCCGCCAGCGCGCGCGCCGGCCGAGGCCGGGCCTCGAGGGCCGAGGGTCCCACCCTCCCCCCTCCCCTCCTCCTCCTCCTCCTCCTCCTCCTCCTCCTCCTCCTCCTCCTCCTCCTCCTCCTCCTCCTCCTCCTCCTCCTCCTCCCTACCTCCTCCTCCTCCTCCTCCTCCTCCTCCCTCCCTCCTCCTCCTCCTCCTCCTCCTCCTCCTCCTCCTCCTCCTCCTCCTCCTCCTCCTCCTCCCCCGCGGGCCCTCGCCGCGGCCCCCGAGGGGGGGGGGCCGGTGGGGCCTGCGGGGCCGCGGGCCTCCGACGTGGCGTAAGCGTGCTGCGGTTCGCGGGCCGAGGAGATTACGGCCCTGACTGCCTACCCGGCCTATAGGGACATGGAAAGCCGACCCAGAGATCCAACGTATCGAAACAATCAAGACGGAGGTTTTTTTCACAAAGTTCGGCCCCTGGCTGCCCTCGCCGGGCCTCGGGACCGTAAACAAAACGACTCAGGGTGAGAAACCGGTCCCGGGGAATGGGTCGAGACTTCTGGGGACCGCGCATGGAAAAAATCACGACGTCGGATCTCTGGGCAGGACGCGTGCCGGCCATCCCGTGGATCTCCAGGAGGGTCTTCGCGTTCGGCCTCCAGGGAGGCCGCCAGGGAGGAGCTGGGAGAGGGCCAGGGGCGCCCCCGGAAGCCTCGGTCCCCCCTCCGCGACCCGCCCCCTCGGCCTCCAGGGCCCCCGTCTCCGCCATCCTCGGCCCTCGCTGCTCCACAGCCGTGCCTTCGTTCCCCTCCGCCTCCACCACCGCGACCCTGGATGCTCGACCCTCCGTCCTCCTCCTCCTCCTCCTCCTCCTCCTCCTCCTCCTCCTCCTCCTCCTCCTCCTCCTCCTCCTCCTCCTCCTCCTCCTCCTCCTCCTCCTCCTCCTCCTCCCCCGCGGGCCCTGGATGCTCGACCCTCCGTCCTCGTTCATCCTCATCCGCCTCCGCCACCGCCCCATGCGTCCTCTATCCTCGATCCTACACCCCCACCCCCATCCTCGATGCTCTCTACAGTCAACCCGCGTAGTAAGGATGGTCGACTTCCCAAGGGTAGCCTTGCCTCCTTGCCTCTTGAGTCCCCTTCGGTCCATCCGCAACCACTTCCGAAGAGCCCCGCTCGAAGAGCCTCGGCATGGACGTGCGAGGCCCTTGCATCCTGCCCGTGCGCAGACCGCGCATCCTTAGCATGCGGGGTGACTATACAGTGCCGTGTTTTCAATACATGCTCCGCGCGCGGATCATGTATCAACAATGCAGGGATTTGGTATTAAAAACAACGATGAGTTCATGCATCAATTTATTCCTAAATTTGTCATGGATTAGAAATCCTGTTTTGCTGAAATCCTACGTCCTGTACGCTCGTCACCTCCACCCCTCGATGCTCGACCTTCGGGCCTCCCGAGCCCGCCGCGCTGCGCGGCTCCTCCGCGCACGCGGCGCGCAGGTCACCGCCCTGCTGCTCTGGGAGGGCGACGGGCTCGGCGGCGGCGGCGCGGCCCAGGCGCCGCGCGCCGCGCGCGCGGCCCTCCATCGGAGGGCCTCCCGAAGCCCTCCTGCCTCCTCTGCTCTCCTCCTCGCCCTCCTCTCCCCCATCGTCGCTCTTCTGTTCCTCCCCTCGGCCTGCTCCTCGTCGACGTCCTCCTCGTCCTCCGCCCCCTCCTCGTCCTCCTTCAGCTCCTTCTCTTGCTCTTGTTCCTCCCTCTCGATCTCCTCATCGTCGTCGTCGTCCTCCTCTTCCTCCTCCTCCTCCTCCTTGCGTGTCCTCCTCCTCCGCCTCCTCGTCCTTCGATCGCTCGCGCGCTCGCTCGACGGCGAGAGAGTCGAAGGAGATGAAAGCGAAGACGGCAAGGGCAAAGGCTGGAGGACGCGACAGCGGCGGCAGCGGTGGCGGGCCGCAGCGGCGGCGGCGGCATCGGCGGTAGCGGCGGCGGCAGCAGGGCAAATCGCCGCGCCGTCGCGCCCCGCAAGGGCACCGCCCACGCTCGCACCCCTCGGGTGGTGCTCTCCGGGGGCACCTCCCGGCGAGGTAAGAGACCTGCCGTCATCCTCTTGCCCTCCCCTCCTCCGCCTTCTGTTTCCCCCCGCTTCCATGAAAAAAACCTCTGGCCGTTTTTCTTTCCCCTGGGGTGTCTTCTCAACAGGATCTCGAGGGCAGCCCAGCCGGGGCAACGAGAGCGCTCCCAGAGGCCCAGCCAGGGCGAACACACACCCAAGAATCTCGAACCATTACTCCGAGTTGGCCGACCAGCATGGCGGGATCGCGTGTGGCTGCAGGAATGCGCCGTCCTTCGCGATGCGTGGGGGGTGAATCGCTTGAGGGGGCAGGTTCGGTATGCGTAGGGGTGCCAGATCGGGCTGTCGGGCGGAGTGGCATGAAGGAGTGCTTATTGAACAATCTGGAGTAAGCTGGAGCCTCCTCCTCCTCATCATCAGCCTCAGCATCATCATCATCAGCAACACCATCATCATTATCACCACCACCACCACCATCATCATCATCATCATCATCATCATCATCATCATCATCATCATCATCATCATCATCATCATCATCATCATCATCATCAACATCAACATCAACATCAGCATCAGCATCCGCGTTATCATCATCATCATCATCATCATCACCATCATCATCATCATCATCATCAGCATCATCAGCATCAGCAGCATCAGCATCATCAGCATCATCATGGCCATCATCAGCATCATCATATTTTTCTTCACCACCATCAGCATCATCACCATCATCAGTATCAGCATCATCAGCATCACCATCAGCATCATCATCATCATCATCATCATCATCATCATCATCATCATCATCATCATCATCCCCTGCTCGTGCCTCGGCGAAGTACGTGCTGCACGTGCTGCTCAAGGCAGCGTAGTTCGGCCCAGACCTTTCACAGTCCTCTCGCTCGGGGCTGATCTCGGCACCTGGGACGTCAGCCTTGGCGGAGAGGATCCGCCAACGCGAGGAGGCCGCTCGTGCAGCAGGGTCGCCTAAGGCCGCATGTTGTTTTGTTACGTTCCGCCCCTGCGGCCCGCGAGGAGAATCCCCCCCGCCTCAAGTTTGTCCTGCCTCTGTCGGGCGGGGCTCGCCAGGCGCACCCGCGCGTCGTGAGCGCCTCCAAGGACCGCTTCGTCAGGATCTGGTCGGTGGAGCTGCAGCTGTGCCTCCAGGCGCTGTGCGTGCGCACACCCGCGCGTGGGCGTGTGTGCGTCCCTCTCGATCCTCCTCCACCACCTCCTCATCCTCAGCTGCACCCTCCTCCAGGCGCAGTATGGCACGAGAAGTAGGAGGGGGATGGGGAGGAGGATGAGGCGGGGAGGGACAAGCTAGGCGCGCTCGCGCCATATCTGACATCCGATCATTCCCTCGCATCCCTTCCCATTGTGCTGATGCTTCTATATCTGCGACCGCGTGTCGAAACCGACTTTGGGCTTCACAAAAGATACAATCGTGGTGTGCGCAATCGTAGAAAAGGGAAATGTGTGGGGCCTGTGCAACCTTGGGGACTTGTGTGGCCTGTGGGGCCTGCGATACCTGAGACACCTGTGGGTCCTGTGGGGATTGTGTGCTCAGTGGGAACTGCGGGAACTATGGGGCGTGTGAGACCTGCGAGACATGTGGGACCTGTGGCATCGGTGTGACCTGCGGGATATGTGGGACGTGGGGAACCCTTGCGGGACCTGTGAGATATGCGACACCTATGGGACCCGTGGGACCTGTCGGACCTGTGGGGCCCGTAGGGCATGCGATACTTGCGACACCTGTGGGACCTTTGGGACCTGTCAGAACAGTGGTACCCGTGGGACATGCGGAACGACTTGTGACATTGGTAGGCTTGTGCGACCTGTGGGATTTGCAGGGCCTGCGAGACTGACGAGACTTGTGTAACCTGCGGGACCTGTGGGATCCAGACACGTGCCCCAAGCTGGGGCGGGAGCGCCATTCGGAAAGACGGGAGCACATCGCCGATCCGAAAATGAGGCCCACGCAGCAGCGGGAACGGCATTTCTGAAATACTACAAATTGCGAACAACCATATGAAAAGTCAGCCCGCGCAGATCCATTGTGCAGGAGACAGGACGCGGCGGTGTGCGGGGGGGATACTCTCAGGCCATGTCCGGGGGGGAGGGGAGTGTAGTATTCAGATTGTGTAGATGTACAGGGGGGAAGAAAGGAGGAGGAGTAAGAGGAGGAAGGGAGGAGGTGGAGGAGGACAGGGAGGAGAAGGATGAGGAGGACGAAGGGTGAGGAGGAGGAGGAGGAGGAGGAGGAGGAGGAGGAGGAGGGAAGGAGGAGCAGGAGGAGGAGGAGGGGGAAGGAAGGAAGGGGCAGGGAAGGATGAGGACGACCGGTGAGGAGGAGGAGGAGGAGGAGGACGAGACTGAGGACTGAGGAATGAGGAGGAAGAGGAAGAGGAGGAGGTGGACGAAGAGGAGGAGCAGGAGGACGAGGAGGAGAAGGAGGAGGAGGAGAAGGGGGAGGGTGCGGAGGAGGAGGAGGCGGGTGATGATGATGATGATGATGATGATGATGATGATGATGATGATGATGATGATGAGGATGAGGATGAGGATGAGGATGAGGATGAGGATGAGGATGAGGATGAGGATGAGGATGAGGATGAGGATGAGGATGAGGATCAGGATGAGGATGATGATGCTTATGCTTATGCTTATGCTGATGCTGATGCTGATGCTGATGCTGATGCTGATGCTGATGCTGATGCTGAGGCTGAGGCTGAGGCTGAGGCTGATGCTGATGCTGATGCTGATGCTGATGCTGATGCTGATGCTGATGCTGAGGCTGATGATGATGATGATGAGGAGGAGGAGGAGGAGGAGGAGGAGCAGGAGGATGTGGAGGAGGAGGAGGCGGATGAGGATGAGGAGGAGGAGACGGAAGAGGAGGAGGAGGATGCGGAGGAAAAAGATGAATATTCATACTTATAAGAAGAAGAGGAGTAATATCAATAATAATATGATGATGAGGAGGAGGACGACGACGACGTGACGGATACAACGGAGGAGCAGAGTGAGGAGGGGGATGAGGAGAAGAAGGATGAGGAGGAGGAGGAGAGTGAGGGTAAATGAAGGAGGTCGAGGAGGAGGAGAAGAGGAGGAGAAGAGGAGGAGAAGAGGAGGATTAGGAGCATAGTGGGAAAACCCTCAGGCAAGGCAAGGCCCAGCCGACCCGAGCCGGTCCGCAATTGGACGTGGCGAAGGAAGCATTCTCGAGGAAGTAGTGGCAAGCACCTCTCTCTTGCGCAGTGCGAGCACCATGGCCGACGGCCTTGAGCAGCGACGTGCCATCCTACTCCAAACCACGCAGGCGAGCGCTTCTGAAGGCGATTCTCCCAACGTCGCGCCGGACGACGTCGCCCACGGCCTGCCTCCGAGAGGCGTGTCGGGTGGGCTCCGCCCCGACGCGCGGTGCGCTCCGCTGCCAGGCGCCTGCGCCGCGTGGCCGGCGAGGCTATGCCGCGGGGGGCGCCAGCCGCTCCCCGGGCAGCTCCCGGCTGTCTCTGCGCATCGTGGCGCCCCGCGCTTCGTCGCTGGGCCGTGCCCGGCCTACGATCATCCGCAGCATGCGCCGTGGCAAGATTCCCAGGCAGATCTCCTTGGCGCGCCGTCAGGGGGGTGCGGCAGGGGGCGCCAGCCGCTCCCCGGGCAGCTCCCGGCCGTCTCTGCGCATCGTGGCGCCCCGCTCGTCGTCGCCGAGCCGTGCCCGGCCGACAGTCGGGGCCCTGAAGAAGGAACCCTGTTCGTTGGGGAGGGGCTCCGTGTTCCTTGATTGTTTCACAGCTTGCCTTAGGTTTTCCCTAGGTTTTCGATGGGAAGTCGAACTTTCACTGATGGGAGACAGGGGCCTCGTTCCTTATTTAGGGTTCCTTAGGTCAACGCCCCGACTGTACGATCATCCGCAGCATGCGCCGTGACAAGATTCCCAGGCAGATCTCTTTGGCGCGCCGTCAGGGCCAGCGTCGGCAGACCAGGCAGCACCGCGGGCGTGACAGCTGGGCCGAGTAGCCCGAGGCGGCGATGGATGGAAACCTTCCTGTATGCCAGGACTCCCTTTCTATTTCGTTTAACTTGCCCCCTCCTCCTCCTCCGCCCCCTCCCCCTGCTGCTCCTCCTCCTCGTCCCCCTCCCCCTCCCCTTTTTCGTCCTCCTCCTAGCCGTTTCGGCTCAGAAGTTTTCTGAGCTTGCAACAGCATGCCTCTTCGAAACGGCCAAGTGCTGTTGCGGGCCATTGGCTCTTTCAACTTGCTCCGCGGAGCCTTTCTTCTTCTTGTGAGCTCCTGCTGGAGCAACGTCCGTGCTGCGTCAAGGCCTTCTGCGAGGAGCGTATGGCCCAGCGCCAGGATGAACCTGACGTCCTTCCTGGACCACGTGAGCCAAGCGGGCTTGCCCCAATTGTGGGCGCAACCAGAACTATACATCCCGTATCCGAGGCTTGTGCGGCAAGATGGCCCCGACATCGATCATCACCAAGGCCCGTCGTGCTGCCCAAGGGGCTGTGCAAGGTGGTGGTGGTGGTGCTGCTCCTCCTCGCGGCCCTCTCGGGTCGTGGGCAAACGGGCCCCGAAGAATGTGGACTTCACTGCCCATGTCGCCACGCTCGAAAAGCGCATGCTTGAGCAGTGCAAACAGATGTTCAGCAAGTCGGCCGCTCCCACAGTTGCCCATGGCGACGGCGGAGGTGGCAAGGACAAACCGACCGATGATGATGAGGATGACGCAAAGAAGCTCCGCGAGCGCATTCATAACCTCGAGGAGTCTCTCCAGGCGGTCAAGAAATGCGGCGACTCGATCGCGGTCTCTGTGCAGACTGGCATCCAGGCTGAGTTGGAAGCCGCACGCAAGCTCGCTAACGATAAGAAACCCATACTCTCTCGGCACACAGCAGTCGGGCACAAGCTGGCCAGGTGCAAGATGCAGTACGAGAAGGGCCAGGCTCAGATTGAGGTGCAGATCGAGGCGGTGGCAGCCGCCCAGCAGTTGCCCACATATTTGCAGGACAAGCACAAGGCCAAGCATATGAAGATGGATGCTCTTCATGTCGAGCTCCAGACCGCGATGCGGGCTGTGGCTCCCGAGTCTGTGGCCGACACCGAGGTCTTCGACTTGCCCACGGAGCTGCTCGAGCAGGGTGACGCCGCCGAGGTCAAGGCCATGGTGGAGAGCCCCGCTTTTCAGAAGTACAAGGAGCTTGCCAAGTCTCAGCTGCAGAAGCAGGCTGGGGCGTCCAAAGCTTCACCCCCTCCTCAGGCTCCAGGACAGGCTCCAGGTTCCGTCGCTCCTGGTGCTGGGGACGGGGCTCGCGCAGGAGATGATGATGTTGACATGGAGGACCTGGGAGAGGAGAAGGTCACCAAGCTTTTGGCGGCTGCTAGAAAGGAGAGAGGAGGCCACGCCCAATCTTTCCAAGAGCTCCTCAACTCCATGGGCATTCGGGCCCAAAAAAGCACGTTTGGGGTGATGCTGTTTCCGGACTGCCAGTTCCCATGGTATCGGGAGCGCCTTTATCCTCGGAAGGTATCCCAGTTCCGCCGCTGAGAGGTGTGCCCAGTGCGCGCGCTACGAGTGACGCTTATAATATTGAATCATTCAATGGGTCATGTTGGACCACTCTTCGCCGGCGACTGAAGGAGTCGAGTGCTATGATACGATGTGCTCAGGAGAGTGGTATTTCATATTCTTTTGCAGGTCAAGCCTCTGCTGCAGCGCGATGGCTAGGCTGGCATTGCCTGATCGGCCGTCCTTCCTAAACCCAGAGACTAACAAGTTGTCTAGCGGGGTGGCGGTGTTTGCTCGTCTTGCTATCGGCCTTCGTGCGCCACCCAATGGAGATGCTCCGATGGTGCCTCACAGGGTCCTCAAGGTTCTCGTCGACCTCCCAGGTTGCCCTACCATGGCGGTTTGTTCTTTCTACCTGCGTTATGTTGAAGGCCTTCTTGAGGCCAACATTGGGATCCTTGGAAGCATTGGGAGGCTGTACACGATCCTGCTCATACTTTGATTTCTTGCGACTGGAATCACCCACCGCAGGTTGTCGAAGACTCGGGGGCCCCTCGGAAGCTCGGTCGGCATGGTCATCGGTTGCCCGCTAGCCTATATCTGCCGCGCGCCTACTAGCAATAGTACCATTGACTTCCACATGCTCGGGCCTG